GAATTTTATTTGTCTCACTGGGAATGAGAAACATATTCCTGTTGGTGAGTCCGCCCTTCCCATAAAAATGCCCCTCCCCCAAAAATAAACTCTAATAACCCCCCCCAACCCGCCCCATACCCCCCCACAAGACCCCACCACCCCATAAAAAACAAAACAACAACAACACAAAAACACACACACCAAAAAAACAGAAACACACAAAAATCTAACTGTTTCTTCTTCCATATCCCCTCCTCAAAACCCAAACCTTCCAAGCCCGATCACTGGCAACCACCAATTCCCCCCCCCCCTTTTTGTGTGCTTTACTTTTACTTTTATCCTCCCTTATACACTTTTGGGTGCCATGGGAAGAAGGAGACGTCTCTCTGTCACCAGTCGGAGCGCTTGGGTCAGGGGGATGCCGTGAGTTGTTAATTAATGTTTCCCTGACTCCATCTATGCCAGGTCTTTCTCGGTCGTCCTCAAGCATAGTTGCGATCGATTTTTTTAATGTAGGCACTTTGAGCTGGGTGGTGTGTTAGTAATCCCCCTTTTGCAAAAATATAATTATTTAAAATAAAGAATAAAAAAAACCCACCCAATCAAAACACTCCAAAAACAAAAATACCCCCAAAACAAAACGAACAAAAGCGTTCCAAAAAACGATCTAATACTTTTATGCTTAATAGTTTTTCTAATTAAGACAAAAAATCGTGTTACTCGCACCTCTCTTTATGCCGGTGGTCGGTGTATACTATAACACGTGTCGACATTTGCATGTCTGTTGTCTCCTTGCTTTCCATTTTTTAAATAAACCAGTAACGCAAATTTGCATACACAGTTGATCACACAAAGCATACATACAATGAACTGTACGTGACCTCTGCGTCATGTTGCATACTCCGCTCCAAAGCCCAATAACCCTATAGGCAATTTCATGCTGTTGCTCAAACTCTTTGCTTTGAACCCTTCTCTCCACTTGACTTCTGCGTGACAACTCAGAAATAATTACCCCGTCTCGAATTCAAGAATGATATTTTTTTTGTTTTTCTTTATGTTCTTTTAACTCATAGAAACTAAATCAAACTGCAATGTCGAGAAAGTACAGACATCTGTGCTTAGAAAAAAAAAGAGCGCGAACCCAGCAACTTAAAAGCACCCCACTCCCGTATTACAGAAAAGGAAAGGAATACTCACAGACACGTACAAACGAAAGAAAAAAGTCTTCGAAATTTCTTGAAATGAAGAACCCAAATCGATTGTCCCATTCAAAATCCAACGCCCACAATTATTGACAAATATTCCCTTATTATTTCCATACACGTATTTCCGATTCCAGACCGCTGAAAGTAAAACTGTAACAACCCACCTCTCCCGCCCCGAAAAAAAACTATACCTCGGGGAACGCATTTTTCTCGAGTTTCGTTAAGTCACCGAAAATACGTTTGCATCACAAATCTTTAAAAGTGGCATTCCAGTGTGTTGAATTTATGCTCACAAGCAGCGGCTACCCTGGCTAATTGGCCTAAGAGATCGGTGGATATGGTCTCGTATTTACATAACGGGAAGCTTGGAAAGTAAAATGATCTTTCCTCAATGATGTTCATTGATTATTCCGTTCGTTGATTAGGGTAACATATCCGGGGCTTGTTATATGGTCCCTTCGTCTTTTATTACTCTTTCATTCACCCCCCCCCCAACCCGCCCCAATCTTCTTCCTATACTTTATATTTCAAACTTAACCTCTATACTTAATATATATTAACCAATTCTTCTAAACTTCCCAAATCCATTGGCCACGCCTTAAAGATAAAGATTTCAGGGTTGTAACACTTCGTTAATATGACAGGGTAAAATAATACTCTTCAAACAATTACACGAGAGAACCTGAATAGGGAAAGAAGAAACTCACGGACATTTAACGGATATTCGATCATATTATTATGAATGGATGACTTTACAGCAGGGAGAACAATCCCTAATCCGCCGGTGTTAGTTCAGTTATAGTGACTTTCTTCGCAAAAGACACAAGTTTAGTTTCAAAGTCTGGATACACATTTGATCTGATATCTCCGTCTTTATGTCTGGATGATGTATATTACTGAGCAGCAGCAACAACAATAACAACAACAACAACAACAACAACAACAACAACAACAACAACAACAACATACAGTAGCAGCAACGACATCAGTAACAACAGTACATCCGAAACTTTTCCGTTTCGGCCTACCACAAGATATGCAAATCCGAAGCAGAAATTGGTGCATTCTCCCTGTACCTCGCGGCGGAAACATAAATATTGTTTTAATGACTGACAGAAGGGGCGGGAGGGCTTCTAACACTTTAAGATACTTCAAAGACACTTCTTCCAGGTGCTTACTCTGCACATCCCTCCTTCAGACCAAAGGTTCTTGCCTATAGTTTTACGATACAGTAGAGGCAGTGTAGCGGCGTCTCTGGTGTAGCCGTTAATCGTTTCGCCGACGCACGCAGAAAACCTGAGTTCGATTCCCGCGTGGGAAGAATTTTTATTCAGTGTTTTCGCTGGGACGTTGTATCTCTGTAAGCCTGGGTTGGTCTTGACAGGCAGGGTCGAAGACCACTTCTTAAATTATCTATGTTGGATCAATTGGAGCGTAAAACTATCTACAATAAAATTATAAGAGTCAATGTGCACAACATTTTAGCCTAATATTCAGACTGGAGCCAACATATGATTTCGATAGGTTCTTGGAAAAAGAAAAAAGGGGGGGTGGGGTGGGGGGGGGGGGGTGGTGGGAGGGACATCACAGACGTGAAGGAAGCTTATTTATAATACTGTCATGTTTTCTTCATCTTGTTGGAATGTTTATTTAGGTTAAAGTTTTACACACTACTGTAAGCATTAGCGCTCCAAGAAGGCGGGTTTGCGAGTAGATACTAAACAAAGCGGTAAATTGCATGGTTGGGGAACATAATTACGAAATACAATTGAATCAATGGCCTCTTTACTCTCCTTTCACCCATTCGCGTAAAACCCAACTCTTACAGTGGTGCTTTGGGTACCGTGTGTTAAGGCGAGCCATGTTAGGCCGGAGGCCATGAGTGGTTGAACGGGCATACGCCTCCAGAACGCGCACTTTGCTAAGCATGCGCCAAACTGCAGGTTTTTTTCAAAAGCCAAAAGGCGCAGTCTAATGCAAGTCTGGTATTCATTGTTTAGAGTCAGTATTCGATATCAATGCAATGTTGTTGCTGTCGTCGTCGTTGTTGTTGTTGTTGCTGTTGCTGTTGCTACTGCTGCTGCTGCTGTTGCTGGTGTTGCTGCTGGTGTTGCTGCTGTAACTGGTTTTATTTTCTGTAATTGTTCTTGCCGTTGATGTTTCATTCCGTAGTCCACTTTGACACCGATGTAATTGTTTAGGTCAATGATTTTTTGCCAATGGGTTTCAATTATTTTCCCGTGCTGCTTTTCCCTGCCGTTTTTCCTATTACATTTGTCGCCGTCGTCGTCGTCGTTGTTGTTGTTGTTGTTGTTGTTGTTGTTGTTGTTGCTGTTGTTAATGATGATGATGATCATGATCATGCTGACGATAATGTCTTCAGATAGGAATAAAAGGAGGAAGTCTCCCTATCTCTCTTAAGCAGGGTACTGACAAGGTTAAAGATGGTAGGGTGGAAGAGAACCAACTTGTCGGAATAGCTAGTATACTTTTCACACGACCGATGAAGGTTTTAGAATGTTTATCATTTACCCTTAACTATTTTTTGGTCGAAACTCCGAACCACCGGTATAAAATTGAATAACGGCTTCGTTAATTTGAATTTTGACTGCTTCTACCGACGTTTTTATTGATCTATTCCCTATTCACGTAAGCGTTTGTTCTTTCTAAAAGTCTTTATTACTTTGCCTGAATTGTATTAACTCCCCTTGCCTACTGAATCTAAATATAAACCGGCGCCAGGGCTGTGATGGTTAGGCTGCTCGTCGCTTCAAAGACATGGCGTGTTTATTTTTTTCTTTGTTTTAGTAAAAGTTTTACAGCGCTTGTAACACAATCAGGTCACATAAATGCCGAAAATTAAAGGTGTTACAAGACGGTAGAAAACGAAAAAAAGAAGGAGAGATAAGGACGATAGATAATTTGATAAGAGAAAAAGGACGGGCTCGGTTCTAAAGTGTTGAAGTTGATTATCAAGTTGACACATCAGAGTTACGAAGTTTTCTCTGACATTTTTGGCCGTTTAGAATGACTAAACCCTGAGGTCAGAAACTAAATGTGAGGCATCGTGGTGAAATCAGGCGCTCGTCAAAATAATGAAATCGAAGAAAACAGTAGTTTTCTCCCTGCTTAGCAATTTTTATTACATTTTTGTTTTTTGGCTCAACACCTTTTATGTCCATTTATCAACAAATTCCGTTGAGGATTTCCCCGAAAAACATTGATTAAAAGCACAAAAATATAAATTTACATTTTGGACTCTCCAGCTTTGGAATTTACCAAGCTTTGGCGGCCATTTCCTCGCTAGTTTTTACTCTGAAACCAGGTGACCCCCACCTCATTCATTCGCAAATATCTCGACTTGTATTCAAGATAAATGGATATTTTTCTCATCCAAAAAAAGACAAGTGAACAAGCTTTAAGATGATACCAATATCTCTACATGCCCAAAAATTGACGAGAGCCTGATTCCACCACGCTGCCTCACAAATGTTCTATCTCTTCAAGCAAAGTCGTAAGATTATTCGGAGTCGTTATCTAGATATTCAAAACATTTCATTCGAACCCCCCCCCCCTCCAAAAAAAAAACAACAACAAAAAAACCGTCAAATTTCTCAAAACTAGAACTGGGCTGATAGAACTTTGTAATTCTAAGGAAGCGAAGTATCTCCAGCCATTTAAAGTTGTCTTCTGGTATGCTGCATTCCACCTTTGCCCCCGTTGGCCCTAATGTCCAGGGCCAAGGGGGTGTTGAAGATAGTACGTGTATTACAATAATTTACATTCAGTTATAAGATAAATACAAATTCTTACCTTCGACGATTATTATCCCTTTATCCTTTTTTTTTCACGCACACTTCAACATTTCTTGCAAAAACGATTACATCCTTTCATTATAAAAAAACAGAGGAAGAAAATAAAAAGAATCTATATCCAATGGTGAAAATATCCCAACTGTTCGTGAGAAACGGTAGGTTTGAGCTGTTCTTTTTTTCCGTTGATGAAAACTTCACATTTTCATTTTCGTCACATGGTGCGTTTCCGAGTGACACATTCGTGAATTTGCCGAAGTGCGCGTTTCAGCGCAGGTAAAGAGATGTCTCTCTGATGTCATTCATCTTTATTTGGTGCATCACAGCTGTGGCGCACACAGGGTTTTCCCGCTGGTGCGTGACGGTGCGGGCTGTTGCGAGCACACAAGGCGCGCCAGCAGGGACTTTCCCCCGCCTCTCTCGCCGAGCGCTGAAGGTTACACGCAACTACATGATATAATAATATAATAAAAAATATTATTATTTTACATTCAGAACTGTAAACCGAATCAACGTTAAGGCAGAACAAAGTTTTTAAAAAAGAAAAGTTTTAAACAAACAGCTATATAACGATAACAAGTGTAAAATTAACTAAAGAGAAATAGTGCAATGGACGGTACACAACAAAGGTAGATTTTTTATTGACAAAAATGAATATTATTTATGTTGATCACACAACTCCGTCGTCA